TCTAGTAATTCTGGCACTTCAGGAGCCTCTGGTGCCCCTGGAGCTTCTGGTACTGTGGGTGTGTCTGGAGCTTCGGGTGCCTCTGGCACTTCCGGCGCCTCTGGTACTTCAGGTACTTCCATTATCTCTGGTGCCTCTGGTGCCTCTGGTACCTCGACTATCTCCGCTGGATCTTGCTCAGCTCCGTTCTCATTAAGACCGCCATCCATCTGGTCTATCGGTTCGATAGCTTCTTCCGTGGTGGTAGTAATTACTTCAGGTTCTGCTTCAGGCGCTGGTTTCGTTGTAGATTCTTGTGGCGGGAGTGTGTCTTCAACCGGGGTGTCTGTTGGTTCAATAGAATCTTGAGTTGGCACAGGGTCTGGCTGGGGTGTGGACTCTTCGTCTAATTGTAGGGTCTGCTGTTCCTCCGGAGTATTTTGCTGCTCTGCATCGGGTTCTGGGTCGTGCGTGTCTCCAACCCAAATAACCGATGACTCTTCATCTTCTGCTGTAGTATGATGCATGTCTTCAGCGCTTTGCCCGGCAATCTCTGACTCCACGGCCTCGGTAGTATCCGCTGGCGACCCAGATTCCTGCTCTTCCCCCATAGGTGGATCTAGCTCTGCAGCAGGTATGATCTCAGTGGGCGGTGCCTCTGCAGCCTCGTCTGGTATAGTCTCTATGGTCTCAGGGTGTTGTGAGGGTGCAGATGTGGACTCTTCCACCAGCGTGGGAACCGTACCCTCGTCGGGCTCCACTTCGGAAGCGGTTGGCATGGACTGCTCCCCGGACTCTGCTTCTGTGGCTGATTCCTCTGCTGTCAATGGAGCTTCAGGCGCATCAGGAATTGGTTCCGCAGCATTCGTTGGCACGTTGTCAGGTGGAGCAACGGGCTCCACCGGTTTCTTGCTGCTTTTCTTCTTCTTTGCCATAACGGCCGCCAAACGTGATAGTTCTTGTAAATAGCGTTAAAGGCAACAAGAACTCTCGAATCCTGCGCTGGAGTTTGCGCTTCTCACGTTGAGCTCAGATACTCGCAAAAATTAAAAAGGCGCCTGTTAACGGAGCATGACGACGGGGAACATGTCAAAAAACAACGAGCACGCGCGAAATCAGCATATAAGGAATGCGGCAGTGAAAAGAATGGAAGAGGATAGTACAAGCTGCAAACGCCTTCCCGCCCAATGGGAGATTGGCAGGGAAGTGCCAGCTCATCGTAAACTCGAGCGGTCTAATTTATATGCCCCGAGCGTTGCGTTACCAGCCATCGTATGCGACTTCGCGTGTCTGGTACAATTACGTCTATATGGTCTTGCTGCGCTGCTCACTCTGTACGACGATGGCGGCCAGCGACAGTGGACCGGCCACAGGCCATGGACCGAATTCTTTGTTGATGTTTACTGTCGGACAGCGATTCAACGAGCCGATATGCACGCGATGACGCCGCTGGGGCTCGAAAATTGAACCTCATGCAGCAGTGGCAGGGAGGGCGTTGTGGCGGTCTCCGGTTGGACAAGTTAGCTGCATATGAGCCTCGAAAGGAGCGCACTACAGCGGGTGCTAGCGGGAAAAGAGCAGCGGTGTGTGTGAAGATGCAGAAAAGAGGTGCGTTGTCAACAGCCTTAGCAGCTCTTGGCCCCACAGTGCCTAGCGCGCTTGGGCCCGTGGAACTTCCTCCGCGCTCCGACGCGACGCAGCCTCGACACGGCTGCTGGACTCCCATCACGCGCTCTGCACCCCCAACCGGCCTAGCACTGAGCATGTCACTCTGCGTTCGAGTGCTCTCCAGGTCCATCAAACGGGGGCGGCATGGCTAAGCTTCGGGCCACGCGCAAAAAGCCGATCGTCGTCTCATCCGAGTCTGAGGCGGATGATTCACATACACCGCCTCCCGCGTGTCCCAAGAGGGGCACACTAACAGGCGTCGCGACTGGGGCGCATGGAGAAAAGAAGGCTACCCGATCCAAGACACGTGCAGCCTCGCCCACGCGATCGCGAGCAGTTCCTACTAAGAAGTCTCCAGCCAAATCGCCGGCTAAAGCAAAGCCAGCATCCAAGCCCATCACTTCTTTCTTCAGTAATATACCGCGCTCGCAGTCGCTGCACCCCACGCCGAGCCCCGAGAAACCGGCCCTGTCAATTGAAGATGTAGACGATATCTTTGATTCCTCAGACGATGCACCGTCCATCAAGCCCCCGAAGCCCCTCCCCGTTCGTAAGAGACCGATCGCTGCGACAGCGCCAACGGACCCTGCCAATGCTGTGAGCAACAGGCAGAAGTTCCTGCGAACAGCGAGCGGAGCGCGTAGTACAACCCCGCTATCCACAACACCGATATCGTCCCAGCCAGCGCGGCAGGATACAGAAGACCGGCGGCCGTGGACTGAAAAGTACGGCCCAGTGTCACTCGATGAGCTCGCTGTGCATAAGAGGAAGGTGGCGGACGTGCGGACATGGCTCACAGACGTCTTCAGCGGCAAGGCACGCAAGCGATTGCTGCTGCTCAAAGGCCCTGCTGGCAGTGGGAAGACCACCACCATGTCCCTGCTGTCCAAGGAACTGGGTATCCACATGCATGAATGGAAGAACCCTATAGGTTCCATGTCAACCTCCGACAGCTTTGTGTCTGCTACTGCACAGTTCGAAGAATTCGTTGGAAGGACCGGAGCCTTTGGTAGTCTGGCCTTCGATGAGCCGACAATGAGTGCCCAGACGGCTTCGTCGAACAGTCAGACTGAAAGGCAGAAGCAGCTGGTCCTAGTAGAGGAGTTTCCGAATACATTCACACGTACTTCTTCGGCCGTTCAATCTTTTCGCTCTTCCGTCCTCAACTATCTTGCTGCCAATACGCAATCAGCTACTACTTTCTTCTCGACCCAGGTCGATCCCGAGCAGCCAGTGACCCCAATCGTAATGATAATATCCGAGACCCTGCTGTCTACCAACACGGCGGCAGCCGACAGCTTCACTGCACATCGGCTGTTAGGCCCTGAGATTTTGACCCATCCCGGAGTGTCTGTCCTCGAGTTCAATCCAATCGCCCCCACATACATGACAAAGGCGCTTGAAACAATCGTTGTCAAGGAGGCGCGCAAATCAGGGCGCAAGAAGACTCTAGGGCCACAGGCAGTTCAGCGTCTTGCAGAACTTGGAGACATTCGCAGCGCAGTCTCCTCCCTCGAGTTCCTCTGCCTGCGAGGCGATGATGCGGAAGGCTGGGGCGCGAAGGTCAACTTCACGAAGAAGAAGGGCCCGAAAGACATACCGATGACGAAGATCGAGCAGGAGTCGCTCGAAATGGTGACGCAGCGCGAAAGCACTCTCGGCATCTTCCATGCCGTTGGGAGGGTCGTGTACAACAAGCGTCTACCGGAAGATCCAAACACACCCGTGGCACATCCACCGAACTGGTTTCCCGAAAGGCGAAGACCAAAGGCCTCGGAGGTCAATGTCGACACGCTCATCGATGAGCTGGGTACCGATACCCAGACCTTTGTCGCTGCTCTCCACGAAAACTATGTCCTGTCCTGCGGAGCTGCGGATAGTGAGGAGACTATGGACTCTATTGAGGGCTGTATAGAAGCTCTTTCCGACGCCGACCTTCTATCGCCGGACCGCTTTGGTGCGGGCGCTGGCCGACGGGTCCTTCAAGGAACTAGTGCGGACAATTTACGTCAAGACGAGATGTGCTTTCAGACGAGCGTACGCGGGCTTCTGTATAACCTGCCATATCCGGTCAAGCGCGTTGCACCGCCTCCAGGCATCATGGGCATCAAGGCGAAAGGCCAAGGAGCAAGTGGTGGAGCGGCAAAAGGCAACGCGTTTGTCATGTACTATCCGGCGTCGCTACGGATATGGAAACAACAGGAAGAGATTGAGGGTTCACTGGAGATGTGGGTATCAAAGGCGCAACGCGGTGAGCTCTTTTCGACAGGGTCAACCACATCGAAAGCGGCTTTCTCGAGCGGAGGAGTCGAGTCGTGGAAAGGCAATGCTTCGTTCTCACAGCCCACACCGGCATCCGGCTCGAAAGATGCCGAAGAAGAAGCGCCAGCTTCAATTCACCTTGGAAGCGGTGGCTCGGCGCGGAACGAAATGCTTCTGGAACGTCTACCTTATATGACCACCATCTTGCGAAAATCACGCATGCCGAACCCATCCACAGCAGCCACCGTGCGCGAAATCCGGAAGATCACAGCCTTCACTGGAAACGCGCTATCCGGTGCCACTGAAGAAGATGACGCTGAAGAAGACATCCGCCCTGGCGAGCAAGAGCAGTGGTCTACGGACAAACCGACTCTGGAGACACCGAAGAAGAGGGGACGGGTGAAGTTTGAGAGTAAGGCACAAGAGCCGGAAACAGCGATTGCTGGCTTAGCGGACAAAGGTGCTAGTCTCACGTTGAGTGATGATGATATCGAGGATTAATCGGATGATATGGGGTTGTACAGTATAATATCTTGAGAAATGCCACTACATGACGAAGCTGTATGGTGGAGAGCCCCTATCAATCTGAATGTGGCGTGTATAAACAGACAAGGACGCACGATATGCAAAAGGTAAGAGCACATGAGCATTGGACAAATCGCATTCGTCCCCATTGGCGCTCTTTGCAGTTCCTTCCCTTGCCGCCTTTCTGCCTTCTTGTCTTCCATCTTCCCGTCCCGGTAGTCGCGATTGTGGAAATTTGTCGCCGGATCGCCTCAGGCCCACGAGACAGGTAGAAGATACTACATTCTGTTCACTGCCCACACTATATCCGTGCTCTCGATCATGCTGAAGCCACCAGGTAAATTGCGCTGCCGCCTCATGAGCAAAGAGCTAAGCCGGTTCCGCGGGTTAAACGCGCAAATGCATTGTTACCACCTCTTGCAGCTACATCGATCGCGTCACCAAAACTTCAGCCTAACAAACAATGGTCTCTCTCTACGAGCTTTTCTGGCTGCTTCGGTTGCTTCAGCGGCGTCTTTTGCTAATCGCACTTTAGCTTAGCCAACGAACAAGAGATGTATACCACACTATATCAACGCAAACTCACCATTAAGCTTATCTGCAACTCTTTTCATAGCTTCTAAAGCCTTCTCAAAGAACGGTTTCAGCTCTAGATGTTCAGCACCGAATTCATGCCCTCTGATATCATACTGCTTGAACCAGGCCTCTAGGGAATCAATTGGCGAGCGGCCGGGCGGATCCCGAGAAGGAAGTCTGGGATCAGCCCCGGCTTCGAGGAGCAGATGGACAATAGGGAGATTTTGCTTGAGATGGGCAAAGTCGGCGGGCCAGCCATCTTCGATTGCATAGTCTAGCGGGCGGCCTACACCGCGGGGACGCGTGTCGACTTCGTTGGGAGAGAAGCCTTCGGATAGAGCAGCGCGCATGGCGGCAATGCGGGTTTCGATGGGCTCATAGGACATCGGCTGTGTTAAGAGCGGGCTGACTACCATGGTGATGGATTGGGCTTCGTTGGCAAGAGTTGAAGATGGGAGCAGGGATGAAACCAAGAACGGTGTTTGTAGGAAGTTGCACGTCGTAAGTCGCGCTGAATTGCGGGTGTAATGTATGTCGCTGCTGCCTGCGCGATCGCAATGTAGCCAGAGGGGCTTCGTGGTAACGAAGACACACGAGGTGATGTACTCCAGTTCTACTCTCTAGAAAGATGAGCCTGTATACTTAAATATTAGAAGTAGTACGGGTTCGAATTGACGCGAGGCCTGCCCAGGTGATATTGCTGTCGGTCTTGACGTTCAGGCTGTCTGTCGCCTGGGGCTGCTATCAAAAGGTTCCCCTGACTTCGCTACTGTTTTGGTATTGATGACCATAAACATGGTCTTCGGGTATCGCTGCACATTCTCTCGCAGTGTCAAGGCTGCGGAAGCTGTGAGTGGTTCATTGCGCTCTGCGTCATCGCAGGCACGTGCACGTGAGTGGGCGAGGCACAACCTTGGAAGATGTCGCGTGTCGCATGTCACCGTTAGGAAGTAAACTACCCCACAATCTATCGTACTCTTCAATTCACGACATCGACGCCATCATACTAGTGTAATTGTTCGTGCAGAATGACTCCATCCTCGGTCGTGGAAGGCCGAGGCCGAATCACGCTACTGCTCGCCCGCTTCCCGGTGCCGGCACTTGCACCATGCCAACATCTCGGCCAGCGGTTCTCTTCCTACTCCACATCTCGCTCCCACACACCGAAACTCTCGGATCTGGGCACCGAGTTTCTCAGACGCGCAAGGGCACGATCCTAGCCATGCAAGCGTATGTCTTCGTAGCCCATTACCCGGTCGGTCACAACGCGTCTCGACGCGTATAGAGCGCTAACGTCGACGTGCAGGTGCGATCACTGTCATGAGAGGAAGGTTCGATGCGACAAGCTTCTCCCGTGCCGACGATGCAGCTTGAATGGATCAGAATGCCGCTATACAGATCGGACCAAAGCACGCACCTATAGCCAGGCCCACGTAGACACGCTTGAACGAAGAATTAAGCGCTTAGAAGTTCAGAACAGGACTCTTGTGCAACAAAGGAGGGCAGACTCAGTATCCTCTACAGGCCAAAATTCCGCCCCCAATGTCCAGAGTAACCATTCCAGAAACGACAGTGGCACTTCGCAGCGTCGTACATCTACCGACGTCGCGGGTGAAGTGTCCTACCTCTCGATCAATGCCTCCGGAGAAAGGAACTATCTGGGGTCCTCAAGCGGCATACTTCTCGCGAACTTCATCAGAGCCAATGTGGACGTTGAAACTTCAACGCCGTCGACAACTCCACCTCTTGACGCTGATGCTATCAACGCGACTGCTTCGGCTATTGAGTTTGCTCGAGACTTACCATCTGAACAGATAGCGAGCAGACTTGTACTGTCCTATCTCAACCATGACCACTTACGCTACCCTGTTGTCCTCCCTGCTACTCTCGGTGCGATGCTTTCGGAAATATACAGCTCGAACGCGACCTCCTCCACGCGCTCCGCTAGTGAAACCTTCATTTTCGACATGGTTCTTGCTATCGCGACAGCCAGCATCTGCCGGTCTGATTGGCAGGGGCTACCAAGTGCTCATACTCATTACATACGGGCGATGAAGCGAGCCTCGACCGTCTTGGAGAAAGGCGGGCTCGGTGCACTTCAAGCAATCATCCTGTTGATTCAGTATCGCATGAGCAGTTCCATGGAAGATACCTCAGCCAGTATGTTGCTACACCTCCGTACATCAGAGCAGACCTTGCCTGATCGCAAGAGCCATCTAATAATTACACAGGCATGTGGCATCTGGTAGGAGTGGGAAGCAGAATTGCCCTGGAACTTGGCCTTCACTGTGAAACTGCATATCCTTACAAACGCTCGGATGACTCTACAAGTAATGCAGACTTGAGTGCCGATCTTGTACAGCAGGAAGTTTCCCGGCTTTGCTTTTGGAGCATTGTGGCTATGGACAGGTATGTTAAGCAATTGTGACGCGAGCATATGCCAGAGGGTGAACTAGCTGACAGCGTACTAGAATAGTCAGCAACATACTTGGCAGACCTCTGGCAATTCACAACGACGACGTAGACGCGGTACTACCGTCTGACCTATGTGACGAGATCCTGCTTTCTGGACTCGAAACGCCCATGGTCGAGAACCTGGTCAGATGCCGCCGCATACCAATTTTCGTTCAGATCATCAAGTATCGCCTACTGTGTGGTGATATCATCCAGACTTTGCACAGTCACCGTCGAAGAAATCAGTCGGATGATGAGCTCCGCCACCGTAGAGATGAATTCGCTGCCGACCTCAGAGTTTGGCGCCTGAATGCCGAAACCGTCGCTCATCCGGGTTCTCTGGATGAAGGCAGGCCTTCATCTTGCTTCACTTCACCAACTTGGTTCGAGATGATATACCATAACGCCGTGCTAATGCTCCATCGACCATCGCCCACATTGGACACGTCAAGAGACTCAGTTGCGGTACAAGCGATTTTCGCCTCCTCTCAGGCTTCCATATCCTCGTATGCTAGCCTTCATCGTATGGGGCTCTTGAATCACAGCTGGCTTTCATTACAAGCTTTGTTTATGGCAGGGTTATCATATGTGTACGCTGTAACGATGCACTACCAGGCCATTCGGAGACAGCAAGGTCAACGACTAGGTGGTCTGCTGATCAGGAATCCAAGCACTATGGAAGTGATTAGCGATACACGAACATGCTCAAACGTCCTTGTAGCGGTATCGGAAAGATGGAAGTCGTTGCAACGCTGCGTCGATGTCTTCAACAGGCTGAGCGATGCTATCCTAATCGACGTTATCAAATTCAGCACACACCCCATCGCCGTCACCGCCCCTGCGGCCAACAGCACAGAAGACAGTGCCCATCAGTGCAGCAATCGGTCGGAGCTGGCGGCGGATGCAGACTCGAATGGGTTGGGCCAGCCTCACTGGATGCACCCACAATACCTTCAGCCTGTCGGAACCGATGCAATGGTGTCTAATGCATCCCCACTCGCGATCGAAAATGAATTCAAGGGCTCTGCGTATGATCTACGACAAATGTACGATCAACAACAAGTCGACATGTCCGTGTATCGGTTCTCTCAGGCGTGGTTCGACAGCTTCGACTTGTACGGTGGTATGGAACCTCAGCTCAACGACATGACAATGGATACGCATTTTTGATGTTAGCATGCTTCCACCGTTGCCAAAGCTGGCTTCGTATGAGGCTGCCCGCTTTTGCGCGGGGTGAAGCAATCAACAGTTTCGAGTGTGCCGGAAATTGGCCACAGTCAATTGACTGGAATTATCGGCGCCACAATCACCACACATCTGTTACGCTTGCGGCTCACGGAAGATGCGGTCGCTCTGGAATAGTTACATTTGCATCTTTCGGCGTGGGCACGCCGAGCGGCGTCGTTGCCAAGCAGTCCACCGGTAGTCATGCTCGGGGCGGCGTCGCCGAGGGGTGGTGACCCGCCACTGCGAGTCAGCGCTTCGGAGCGGGACTACCAAAGTTGGGATCTTAGCGCCCCAACCCTGACTTTCATGTCGATATCTGGTGCGAGGACGCCATTATCCGGGGCGACCCCATGGGGAGAAGGACTAGTGTTCGATGCGCGGGGTAAATGAACGAGATTCGATATAAATCACTGTCCCGTCAATAGGACCATGCATCTTTTTCGCAGTGCCTTTAGCCTGGGTTCTTGCCCTACTCTTGACGCTGAAAGACCCTGTCGACGATACCATGGCCGTACCACAATCTGAGCCCGTGCAGGGTGTAGGATCTCCCATGCCAGGTCACACCGTGGACCCCATCGATGAGAAGCTCCAGAGCCAGCATATGGAGTATGAGAAAGTCGAGGTCAAAGGCGATTACTCTGGGGCCGTGGCCAAGACGAGCCCCGAGGAGAAGAAGCTCGTCAGGAAGCTAGATATCTGGATTATGGTGAGTCAATTATCGGCATACCTTTCGAGCCTCGACTAATGACCCAATGCAGCCCATGCTTTGGCTGATGTACTGGCTCAACTACCTAGACCGCAACGCCATTACCCTCGCCCGCCTCAATGGTTTCCAAGACGATCTTGGACTCACCAGCAACCAATACAGCACTGCTATCTCTATTCTTTTCGTCGGATACATCCTGGGCCAAATACCAAGTAACATGATTATAACGCGAGTGAAACCTTCATGGTACATGGGAATCTGTATGATGGGCTGGGCGGTTGTAAGCGGGCTTACCGCCATCGTTCACAACTACACAGGCATCGTACTTGTACGCTTCTTCTTGGGTGTAGTCGAGGCACCATACTACCCAGGAGCGCTCTATCTCTTGAGCATCTTCTACACGAGAAAGGAGATTGCGACACGCATCAGCATTCTCTACTCTGGCAACATTCTCGCGTCGTCATTCGCTGGACTCATTGCGCTTGGCGTCTTCAAACTCGATGGTATCCGTGGTATCAGGTATGATCTCCACACAGTTCTTGTGCAACAGATACTGACCTCATGTCAAGCGGATGGCGTTGGTTGTTCATCATACAGGGCGTCGTCACCTTTGTCATCGCCGTAGTCGCCTGCTTTACCCTCCCTGACGAGCCTTTAACTACGTGGTGGCTCAACCCCGAAGAACGCCAACTTGCGCACGCTCGGGTTGCGCGAGATACAGTCGGCCACTCCGCCGACGTCTCCATGCTCGCAGGCCTAAAGGAAGCTATCCGAGACCCCAAAGTTTGGGTATTCGTCTACATGCAACACCTGTAAGTTCTATCGGTTCCGCTACAACTACCGTCTCTGACACTGTCTAGGCACATTGCTACCAATGGGTAAGTTCTGACTGTACGAAGTGCATGTGAGACATATACTGACTTCGTACCCCTACCTCTACAGGTTCAAGAACTTCATGCCAACGATCGTCAACACACTCGGCTTCTCTCAGGAAGTCACACTCGTATTGACATGTCCACCTTACTTGAT